ATTAAGTTTGCTGGAGGAGGCGGGGTTTATTAACTATACTGCAACCTCTCACCAGAGGGTGCTGTTCTCGAGGAAGCATCACCCTGCAAAGGAGGCAAAATTTCGTCCATTCTGTACACAGCCAATGGGTAAATCTTGCAGGGTGCAAAGTTGACCAGCAGACTGTATGACACTTGGTGAGCTGTCATGAGCCATTAATCTGTGCTTCACAACAGTCAATGCTTCCATAGACTGAGCTCAACAGCTGTCTTTGTAGTTAGCTTGACTGTAAACTCCACATGGAGAAAACAAATATTATTAGAAAGAATGATGCAACTGCACAAAAAACTGCATTTAGACTGAGAGCAGTGAAAACGATCACACAGACAGACAGTTTAAACCATTTTCCCCCGAGGGATGTCTGCAAACAAAAATCTAGTTTCATCTTGTAAGTACTCGGGGTGCTTGTTTTTATTTTGAGCCCCAAACATTGTTTATATGAATGTTAAAAAAGTAAATCTACACAGAGAAATAAAAGAAAAGCTCTATAAACTTTCACCACTTAAACAACAACAATTCTTGTGCCTCTGAGTATTTTTCTTTTTTTTCTGAGGTAAGGAGGATTCAGTGAGGGTGCCAAACGGGTGCCTCCTTTGGATTAGGAACAGAGAACAACTGAGTGATTGAGATTTACAGGAAAAGGACATCTCTTGGCTGCCCTGCATATGCACCAGAGAGGAAGCTGAAGGAAGTTAGACTGAATAAAGAACATTCATGAACTTATGACCACACCTTAACAGGCCACAGAGTACCAATACAAAGTAGAGGAAATGTTTTCAATCACTGGATCACAAGAGGATGATTTTCAAACACTTAAGTCAAACTGAATTTTACTTTTAAATAGTCTAAAATGTTAGAAAAAAATCACATCAGATGTAAAAACCATCAGAACCTGGCAGTACACTGAAGTGTATACTTTTGGTGGTAGTCCACTGCTGATGTAAATGTCATGCAACCCTTTAAATGTCATGTCAAACAGACATTTTTCTGTTTAAACTCTTCAGTGCCATGTGTAACAAAATGTAAGCATCTCACGAGCATTTTCATCTTTTTGACAGTGTGTTCTTCCTCGACTATGCACGGGGGTTGGCAGTAGTAATTTTACATGACACACAGTGGGAGGTGTTTTCGTTTTAATTAATAGAGCTGTCAATGTCATGCCCATTAATCTCAGCTCACCACTGATATCTGTCAAAGTGTCATGTGTCGGCACTAAACTGTGGCACTGACATGAGAAGAAACAGAAAACCTCCCGTGAAGCAGCTGTTATTACCTCAAATAGTATCATTTCTACATGACTGTGAGATCCCAGCGCAAGGGTAGTAGTACATGAAAATCATTTAGTAGCCTTCAGTGTCTATTTATAACTAAAAAAATAAATCTCTGAAGCAGTTCATACCCAAAACAGAGCGTGTAAATGGCACTTAACTTAAACTACAAACTCAATGAGTCATTTTTTTATTTATATAGTGCCAAATCACAGCAGTTGTTATAATGCCATTATTCTTTGTTGTTCACCTGCAAAACACATACCAATGAAATGGTCATTATGTTACAATGAATATGCGGTTGTTTAGTTAGTAAATCAGGCCCTTAAGGCTAAAATATACAGGACGCGTATTTAAAGCGTGGCAGCAGCGATGTGCATCACGCAGCAAATTGGTGGCCATTCTAATCAATGCAGCAGAGCATAAAGGACGCATATCAGCTCCGTCGCAGCATCATATTGAGAGCAGATCTGCTTAAGATACGTGCGGAAACTATTTTTGCTGCTCTATGCTTCCAATGTGCGTCAATCCACAGTGAGAGGATCTTCCTAGACAGGAAGTCAAGCACGAAAAATGCACACGTCATAAAACACCATGCTAGAACTCCTGACTGTGTATCAGTTCGAGTAGATGAGAAATACTTCCTGGTTATGGATTTATCAGTAACACAGATCAATCTGATGGTCAATCCGTGATCCATGTGGACCCAAACAGGACTTTTATCTGCTAACTCTGTCTGAAGGTAACAGCACAGCATAAAGGAACATAGTTTACTTTATTAAACACAAGTAAAACCAGTATCGCAGTTGCTCTTTGTTGCAGAAAATTAAGAACACCATGATCTGTGCCATAACCAACTCTCACAAGAATTTTTTTTTTTGTTTTGTTTTTAATGTTTCTGTTTAATTTGCTCTGACTCTAAACTGCTGCCAGAACTCAACAGGAATCTGTTTTGTCTCGTAGCAACAGTAGCAACACCTCAGGTTTGGAGCTCAAAAGTATTTCTGGCAGCAGGTAAATGGAGTTTACTCAAAATAGCCTCTCTGTTAAAGTCAACACTACACGTTTTGCCTCCTGTTTACCTATTCACACAAAAGCTCACATCTTGATGAGTGTGTATCTGCTACAGAAGCACAGGGCTTCCTACACCACAAACACAATTGCAGGAGAACAGAGCTATTACAGGCCATGATGAATGACCAACTGGTTCCACCAACTGAGCTGATCAATGACTAGAGCTCTAGTTTTATTGTATCAACTTGCAGGTCTAAGATATTGAGTAAACACATTGATGCATTTAGTATTCCTAAAGAGTAGCTCAACCTCAGAGTTTCAGCTGATGTGCATTTATCTGGGCTTCTGAAAGGTCTGTGATAGCCTGCTCTCTCAGCAGCTTATATTCTACACACCACATGTATGCACCCACGCACTTATGCACACTTAAACTGATCATCAAGTTCAGTTGATGATCCCCCCTGAGTCTCCTGTAGGCTGGATAAGTTTGAGGGGAAATCCCCAAATAATATTGTCCAGTTAAATTTGGCTGAAAAGGAACAAAATGCTTTTACACATTTCTCGTTTATCTTGGCTGTTTTTTCCATAACGCTCACATTTATAACTCTTAAATTTGGAAGTGCAGCAGTCAAAGTGATATAGAACAATGGCACAGTTCACATAAGCTTGAAATAATGGTACAGGCAAACATTACCAACCAAGCATGCACCAACAACGGCACCATTGGCAGTTACATTGATGATGCCTTAATTTCCCTGATGTAGCTTGACAGAGCTGTTTCTTTTTGTAACATTAGCCGAACAGTCAAGATATTTTGAATGCGATGCACCAACACAGACTTTATACACTCGATTCAGGATTTAGCGAAGTTCACAGTTGTCGTCCTTTTGTTGGTACCAGGTGAGCGATGTATGACACTGCATTCAGCTTGACCAATAAAGAGAAACCTTAATGTCGAGATTCTGACATTGACTACTCAACACTATACCTACATGAACAGGTTTTCTCTAGCTGTAAAAAGTGGTCTCTGGCTTAGTTAGCGAACATATTTTAGACATTTTAGGGGTATCTTGAAAAAAAATTGCTGTAGCAACTCACATTTCTGCCAACCGTGGCACATGGTGAGCCATCAAAAGACAAACATACAAAACCCCACTGCCCAGCTGGTTCTCTCCAACTTGTAGAGTGGATACAGGTCAAGTAAAAATCCATTATTTTCTCTCATCCTGATCCCTGTGGTCATGAAAAGGGAGAGCAGCATTTCCTTGTCTGAACATAAAGAAGATGCTTTGCTGCGGCTAACATGACTCCTGTACTGTACCTCTAAAGACTTCTTTGTAATCTTTTACAAAGATCCCCTTTGTCGATTTATTTTTCTTTGTAGTCTTTTTCTCTTTCTCAATCTCTCTTAGTCTCCCTCGCACAGCCTCTCGCTCCAACTTACTGTCTCTATCTTCATCCATTATGGATGAGGCTCACTGAAGACAGTGTGAGTCTCTGGAAAACACCCAATGTTTTCAAAAATGAAAGCACAGTGATGTCACTGATAAATGCCAGTAGTCTTGTCTCTACAGACCAATGTTTGGCAAATACAGCCTTTCTACTACTGCCATGCTCTCAAGCACCTGTACTACATACTATAAGTACCGGACACACACACACACATACAAACGCATGCATGCACGCAAAAGAAACAAAATGAAGGGTACTGGATGCTTAGACGTTGTAATTGCTTTCTTTTTTCTGCAGTGGATTCAAAAGGTTATTCACTTAAAGCAGTTCAAGTCACTCTAACACCTCATTTTTGTGCCAACACTGTGACCTTTTGTCAGCAACACTGTTAACTGTCAAAGCACTGTCTTCAGCAATAGACCAACGAACAATGACAGCAAGCTCCACTGTCAACACCTTCGAAGCCAAGATTGGATATCATTAGAATAGATTGGATATCATTTAACAAGAACCTGTGGACTTGTTTGGTATTGTATCCCAATGTAATAGCTTTAAGGTTTCTTGTGCCTAATAGCATTTGAATGAAAGGTTGGGTCGGTGATCATATATTTACAGTCTCCATTGCAAGTTTCTGCACTATAAGTGCAACAAAATGTAAAGGAAGCAAGGCTGCAAATCTTTTTCAAAATGATTGTAAACATTTTCAATCCGCCGGTCACTCTTGTTTTTATGGATGACTGCACACTTTTTGATGACTGATGATTTTCTTAGGGATCACTTGTACCGCAAAAAGTTGGAAAAACTCTTAAACATTAACTTTCAGGATGGCCACCAAGAATTCACAATAAAGGGAAGAAAAGATTGATGCTGTTTAAGAAGGGAGTGTTCCTATCTAGGACATGACCACTAGTTCACGCTAAATATTTCAATTTCTTCAAACTGTACCTTTAAGCTGACCGATTGCCTTTAATGGAGGTGACCCGTCTCCAAGACGACTTCAAACCCTGTATTCCTGAAAAAGAAACGGGTGAAATAGTTTTTTTTTTTTAGTCAACCAACACACAGTTACCTTTTACGAACCAAATGAAAATTCAAGATGCTGATTTTCGGTGTGTTTTAGAATGCACATGCGCATGATAGCGAAACATATGTTCTGTCGATATAGAGCAGAAAATGACCATTTACGGTTGAGAACTTGCCAAATAATAAAGACCTCACATCAATGTATACATTTTTGTAATTGTATTGTCTTTATTTTTTCTTAAAAATAGACAACACATCAATAACAGTCAAAAGCAGCCCTGGTTGTCTTGAGATAAATCCATCAGTTGAAGACCATTTACGCAACACTGGAATAATTTCAGCCTCAGTCTTATTTGTACAGCTAGGTTACATTTTCAGCTTGATTATTGTTACTTACTTTTTTTCCATTGAAGAGTTTAAAAAATATTTGCAGTGCTAACAGAGAACAGAAAACAAACAGAACAGTGCTTTGTTCTGCCCCACCCTCCATCACAGTCACTCCAATGCTAACTGTTCTCATTTACAGGCTAACAAGTACTGAGGTTTTTTAGGTCCTTTTAGCACCCATTAAGGCACACACATTATGTCTGCTTCAGACAGACTGAGATCATTGTAAATGCTGGTTTTGAAAAATAAAAACATTACAACACAAAGAAATCTTGCCAACTTTTGAAATACCAATTTTGAGGAAACAAATAAAATATTATTGAATATTTTTTCAATCTGTTTGTTTGGGATACTTTCAGCAACACCCAAGTCAATGAAGCGTCTTCACTCTAAAAATAGAATAAAGTTACAACCGGTAAGATAATGAGGAGTGCGTAATTGAAGTTGAGTATCATCCCATTGGCTGTGACACAGGACAACAGGTCATCTGTGGAAAAAGAGGTAAAGATTTTTATTTTATTTTCACTGATGCACATTACAAGAGGATGTTTTATCATGTTTGTGTTGTATGTCTGTATGTATTGAGAAAGTGTTTATAGGAAGAACATGGAAGCACAGCTGACAGTGTTTCATTTGCACCATGAGTACCCTTACTAAATTTGTGAGGTGTGTGTGTGTGTATTCATGAATAATGGTCTCTGTGGGAAGGTATAGGGATATTATTCATACTGTATGTGATCAGAACTCAGTGGAGTGATGACTGGCCCTTCACTTCTCCCACTCAGATCTCCAGAACTGGTAGAACAGAGGGGGAGCAAGCCAGGATACACGTCCTCCAGAGGCTAAACTGGGCTAACACCGCCGTGGCAGATTGTGACGCAATGCCTCCTTCTAAAGATAACTCTACGGGGTAGCATGTGTGAGTACTGTATGTGAGGTAGATACATAGAGATGGACGGACGGACGGACATGATAGATAGATAGATAGATAGATAGATAGATAGATAGATAGATAGATAGATAGATAGATAGATAGATTGATAGATAGATACATTCATAGATACATACATACATACATAGATGGGGGGGTATCTTTCATGTTTTTCTAACCTGAGACTTTCTGTATTCCCGGAAGAACTTTGTTCCAGAGGTGACACTCTTTAGCCCTCATCATCCTCTTTTGTTGTGGATGGTTGTAGTCCAGAGTGACGTACCCCCGCTGTTCAGGGGTGAACGTGGGCCACTGAGCTCCATCAATGCTTGGATTCCTGACAAAAAGAAAACCCAATCAAGATATCTCATCAGTGTCACAAAGGCCCTCACTCAGTGCGAGTAGCTGATTGCTGATCTGATTACGCTCACCCCGTCCGTGCAAAGTTGGCCCAATGTTTCATAAACTTCCTGGTCATGTTCACCTCATTCTTTGTGTATCCAAGAGTCGCGTTCAAAGGCATTCCAAAGACAAATTCAATCTCATAGCCATGCATAATACCCAACCAGGCAGGCCAAGGATTGACAGAAGACCGGTGTTCAAAAGAATAAAGGAAACTCTTCCCCCCACGTTGAGAGTACCTAAAAAAACAAGAAGAAGAAAAAAAACAATAAAAAAAACATAAGAACTCCTCTGGTGCTCTGAGTCAGTCACACTTGATGCATCTAATGAAGACATTTTTTTCTTTTATTTTGTGACATTATGATTGTTGCAGAACACATGACCAAGTCACACCCAAGTGTAACTACATAAATTTCTGTGGAGGTGTATCTAGTAACTAAAGGAAAAAGCGAATAAATCACAGTAATCAAAAAGGTCTTGTGCCTCAATTTGACAAACAGCCAACAACCACATAATGGTACCAGTAGACATGGGTTGAGATCGTCCAGGCATGAGCTTTCTGCCTTCAAAATTGTAACTATTCAAGTTACATTGACTGCCACCACAAACACTGGTGGCCCAAGTGCAGCTCATATAAGTTTAGAAGACCATCAAGGATCCACTCCATCCAATCAGTAAGCTTGGAAGGACCAGAGAGACTAATTCCAAGGCAAGTTGTTAAAAGCACGCTTAGTATCAACATCAATACGTACAATTGCCAGAATTTCTTTTTTACAATTCTCCAATTCATTAAACGGTTTAGTTACCTTTCTACATAGTAGGACCTAGTAATTATTTCTGTTTTAAATAACATGCTCAAGAATGATTATGATCGACTTATTGTGATAAATTTGGGTAACAAAAATCTCTAATGTAGATAAAGCACAGGGTTGAATTCAGACAGACAAGAGCGCTGTATATATTAATGAATAAATAAATACATGAATAAAGAAATGAAGGAAAGAATGTTTGGAGGGTTGGATCGATCAGTCTCAGTGCTTATCAAAAACAAAGTTTAACTTAAATGCAACATCTAACTCTGCAAGTAAAAGGTGAAGTACTCATGGTTTTACTTCAATGTGTTTAGTATAATGAATGACAATTATTGTTTGAGTTTGACTTTCAAGAAGTTTTTAACACCTGTCTGAAAACTAAAAACTTGCCTTGCTTAATGTTAGTTTTACCAAGGAGTACTGTTGTGGGTCACTCAAACTGGACTACATTGTGCCTAAAACAACTTTAAAATTCAAAATGCTGCTTGTTTCCAAGGTCAGATTTTAAAATAAGATTCAAAAACTATGACAAATATGAGGAATAATAAGTAGCTAGAGAAAACGCATCCTGCATTTGAGTCAGTATATGTTATAAATTTGAATTGTCTTTACCTGTGAGCAAACTCCAGGAGAGAACAGAACATTTGGTCTCCAACCAGACTGCCCAGTAAGTCACGATTTTTCGTCCTGTTATTCTCATCTGTCCAATCCGTGTACTCTAAAATTGCTGTTTCTCTTGCAGTAGCACTTGAATCTTTCATTGTAAAGGCAACTGCATCGAGAAATCCCTGCCGTGTAATAAGACTTTCGTCAGCAAGGCTGAAACCAGGCATGCCATACATCAGGAAGTAGGTTCCTTCATCCTTGTTTAACCCAAACAACACGTCATGCTTTCCGAGGTTCCCAGAACTCAGCAACATCTGCAGGAAGAAACAAATGTTTTTTTACAAAAGCCTGATGGCAGGCTTGGAACAAGGATACAGCTGTTGGAAACCTGTGTAATCGTAATCAGGGGGCATTAAATTATCATTCCACTGTCAGCTGAATCCCAGTGCCCTGGCCACAAAACTGACATTTACTTAGGACAGTATCATGTCCAGTGTAGGCATTTTCACCCTTATTGGCTTGTCCCACCCAAACATACAGAGCCATACATACATCAACTGTTTTTGGTAGGAAGACCCCATCCTCGATTGGGACAAAGGGCAAGGGTGTAAATGTTGGTTTAGGGAGAACTTCATAACTTTTCACAGTAAGTTCCCAAGCATTAGCCTTCTCCAGACATATCTCCATTCGAGACGCGTCAGATGTAGGACACCCCATTTCAGTGGCTAGTTTCATGGACCTACAGACAGATGAAGAGAAGAAGTAAGAAAACATATAAGGCTGGTTTTCAAGGAGTATGTTGAAAACGTACTTTTAATATCAAATCCCAATGGCAATGTGTGTGTGTTTGTGAAGGTGGTGTAGAAGGCTTATATTGACCCCTGGAAAAGGCTCAGCTGTCCCCCAGTCGCCCTCTATCCATTTCTACAACTGTAACTGATATGGACATGGTGACCATGTTCTGCCAACCACACAATTATAATGATATTTGACTTTTGCTGCTTCATGTTGATTGGCTGTGTCAGGTCTGATCATGGAAATAGAACCATTTCATGCAAATCAGATAATAATGGAACACATTAATTTACTGTAGATAAGACGAAAGAAAGCTAGATGTTTGACAAAACAGTCAGACTGATGATATCCGACACCAACAAGCTAACACAGTGTAGAAACTGGGGTGCCACAGAATGAGGAATATCAATATGATAAAGAGAGTGGTGTAGGTAAGGACTATCAGACTCAGCTGTGATTGCACTGTGAGACTATCATTAACTGTTTATCTCAGTTTAATCTTAGCCACAGCTGGCAGGTGGCTGTTCTAAGTTCTCTGAAGTTGTGTGTTGAAGCAATATTAAATCTTGTAAAAAACCTTAAGGCCCAGTTACCAAAAATCCAGCTGCTCCATATTTCCTCCCACCATGATTTCCAGGTACCGCTACCCTTCACAGGTGTACTCAGTCTTTCAAACAGTACATAAAAGGATCTTGTCGCACACGATGAATAGATGGAAACAACAAAATAAATACATCATCACTAATTGAATTAATGCTTCTTACCTTTGCCAGGCCTCATTCTGGCTGATTGTGGCCCAGGGTGCATTAGGAGAGCCACTCTGCATTACAGCTCTTTGGAAAAGACCTTGGCTGCCCGGTGAAAGAAGGTGGAAGCCAACTGATGCTCCTCCAGCACTCTCTCCAAACAGAGTCACCTGGAGCCAATGGTACAATCAATAATGTTACATCTTGTGTTATTGTTCTACTGTACTATCCAAACAGATCTAATAAGTCATTTTCTGATTTTAGGATACCTACACACCTTACCTTTGTGGGATCACCACCAAAAGCTGCAATGTTATTTGCTATCCATTGGAGGGCCAAGCGCTGGTCCAGCAGGCCAGCATTTCCATGGATGTTTTTGTTGTTTGGGAGAGCCAGGAATCCAAGAGCTCCAAGTCTGTCACAGACAAGAATGAGGAAGATGTTAACAGCCTTAAATCACAGATAAATTGACATTATCTTGTCATTTGTCCTTGTGGTTGATTATCCATATCTATAAGGAAGGCATATTCAACATACTGGTAAGTGCTTTCCCGTTAACAGATTCTGCTCTTTTGGTTATAGCACCAGCAGTATTTAGTCTGTTTTTAATGCAGCTTTCAATGCTGGTTAAAAACAACTTAATACCACACAGAGTTTGCCAAGGACAAATTGCTTTTATGACATTTAAATAATTGCTTATGATCAAGGGGCTTCTAGTTGCACTACCTTCTCTTTAAGCTTGTTCATTTCTTGAGCACTCTTTGTAAATATTCTGCGCTTCTTACAATTTGTTTTAATTTCTTATTTATTCTTGTAAGTTCCTATTTCTATTCTCCTTTTTTCTAAAGTAGACAAGTGGATTAACTTTTAACAATTTCTGTATTCAATCTACTCCAATTCTTACCTGTAATTCATTGATACTACAACAACACCTTCCGATTTACACAAAAATCGGCCATCATAAATGTCGAGAGAAGATGTTCCTGCATTAAACCCGCCTCCATAGATCCAGACAAGGACAGGAGCTAACACTGGGCCATTAGTCCGGGTTTTTTCGAACTGAGGAGACCACACATTAAGGTACAGACAGTCCTCACTCAGAGGAGTGTTAGGGTTCCACATCTCTGCACCTTTGAACCCTGGAAAAAATGATCATATGATGCATGTCATCAGGGAGTCGTCAGGACTTCAGTCTCGCAATGAACACTTGAACTGCTGGAGCTCTGAAATGATTGGCATATTGGCTGTAAGGGATGGACAATATGGGCAAAAAAATATATCACAACAAGCTTTGCCATTCTGGTGACAACGATAATTCCCGATAAAAATATTCACCTCCTTCGGCCACGTTTATTTTTTATTCTGCTTTGTCATCAACTTAATTACATTATCAACATGCGTTTATCGCATTTATCGTGAAATAGCAAACAACTATTGGAGGATTTTTCTGACGATAAAACATGAACAATAATTTATCGCCCATCCCTATTGGCCGCATCTGCTGCTAAAAAGCATCTGCTGCCTAAAATGCTGACCACTGTGGCCATTTATAGTAAATATAATGAAAACAATTAAGGAGTGTCTTTTGCTACTGCTTTAGTTTGAGTATTATAGGCAGCTGATGACAATTTATTTCATTAGCAGAAACATCAAATAGGTTTTTTTTTTCTTTCTCTTTGTCGGACACCACTTTATCTACAGCAAAAAAAAACCTGGCCTAACATCCCTGCCTCCTGCCCATATCTTCCTGCACCATCATGTCTATTCTTAGGGTATGTTTTTGGGCAAATACTCAGTACACATGCCTGGCAAAGTTCTCAACTGGCTTCCAAACAACCTCTGACAGGTGGCTGCACCCAAAAATTTCTATTTATATCCATGACCCCAACTACTTCCAGCTCTTGGGTATCCATATCATATTCAAGCTGTGTTTGAGTAAACGCTGAAACACTTTTGTTTGCTTAACAGATTATTATGGGATATTACCATGTGAAACTAAGATGTATGAAAGTCTTTAAAAAAACTGAATGGTTATATTAACACCTATGACAAATTTAGAAATCCTTCGATCACTCACAAATATACATGAACCCTAAAAGTAGCCTAATGTTTTATTTAAACATGAACTCTTGACAGCTGCTTCAACGCCTTGTTTCAGTGTAACAATACAACACTAAAGCAGATTGAACTGCATTTAGGCTCTGTATACAAAGGGGAGTTTGGACATGAAAACTCGTTTAACCAGTGCCATATTTAATTCTTTCTGAAAATGGATGTGTAATGTATTTTAACACTCTAATGCATTCTTGCTTGAGACTCCCTAGTGGTTACGAACAGGGAGACGTTTCTGGGACCACGCCACAGCACTTACAGTGGAAACACAAGTAGTACTAGGAGGGGCACGGGTCAGATCTGGAGTGTGTGGCACTGATGGAATGTGAAACACACCTCCTGATAAAATTAACCTCTGTGATAATGTCGTTATAATGTCACGGTGATGTTTCTGAACCGGGGTTGGAGATATCAAATCTACAACAAAAAGTTTGAAGTACACTGTAAAAGATGGACAAAGCACACATAAACAGGCGCAATGCCAGGGATTGGGAGCCTAGATAATTCTAAGAGAGACTAAAATCAGGATTCAATTATCTGTTGCCTTATTAAATTCTTATTTTTTCTCCATATCAGAAACATCTGATACAACCATATGGCCTACAAACTTTTTTTTGTTAGAAACCAGATCCAGTGGCCACTTACAGTAGAAATCCATACATTCACCTGCTTCATAATAATCAATTGAAAAGTACTGTTCATGCTATTTCAGGGTTGCTTAAAATTTGTGCAAGCCAAAACTTACAACTTTGTCATATTTTTGCACCTCTTAAGTATTTATTTTTTCTCAACAATGAAATTGAGAAGCAAAAAATTACTATTACATAATCTTACCTTTGTAAACTGTATCTGGGACCTGGTAACAGGTATTTGGGTAACTAGTCGAATCTTTCACCCCCTGCCATCCATTTACAGGCTCTGGAGCTCTGAATCTCAGTGTTCCCACAGGTGGTTTAGCATAAGGAACTCCAAGAAATGCCCTCACCACACCACCGAGCACTGACAATGGCTTCCCTTTAACTTTCCCATGCTTTGTATTCACAATGAGGTCATCCTCAGTGGCAAATGATGGAGTCAGGAAAAGGGGCAACAGGAGGAGAAGAAGGGCAAGGTGTGAGGAGAGAGGGACTGTTGCCATGGTAAAACCTGGAGAAAAGGGACCACAAGCACAAACAAACATTACAAAATTTATCGAAATACATTTTTTAATTTTACTGACAATATATTGATGTGGTCAGAGATGGACATGCCTCAAGTAATCCATCACTCATTAATAGGCAAAGTCAAGTTTTTAATTCATTTTAATGTTGGCATTATTTTGAATAATGATGTTGTACCTTTAATGTAACTTAAAGGGATATTCAGGCGTAAAACTAATTTAGGGTCAAACACACTGTAACACCGAGTTAGGCTATGTTCACACTACAGGTCAATTCCAATTTTTTAACCATATGTGATACATATCTGATTTTTTCATGTAAGTGTGAACAGTGCAATTCTGATTTTTTTTTCAAATCCGACCCAGGCCTCTTTTGTTTGTGGATATAAATCGGCTATGTATCCGATGTGTGGACGCTCAGGTCGCCTTCATCTGACCTATACATTTATGATAATTTCCTTATCATTTTCTTGAAGTAATAATCACTTTATTAATCATTTTGCACTGCAGACGTTGTAGTTCTTCTGCCTTCGTATCTCGGTCTGATTGCATTTCCATGAAAAAATGATCATAAATGTTCTTCCTTGAGCTTAGTCACCCCGCAGCAGTCTGTAATGGACTGGCCTGAGGTCTTGCTACAAACAAGCAGCTGCTGGAAGAGAGTAGGTGAGTTGTGTTTAGTCTCTTTGCTAAAGAAATTAGGCAAAGCTAAAAAGATGTTTGGTGGCTAGTGCTGTGGCTGGGACCCTATATGTACTATTGATGAAGTAAGGTGCAGTTCTGAGCATTATTTGTGGCTATAGAGTGGCGTTTTGGTTGAATTTTGTTTATGGCTCCTCAGACCACTGTGTATTGCTATCCTGTGGTCGTTACTAAAGTTGGTATAACTAGAGAGAACTAAATTAATTTTACACCAGAATATCCCTTTAACCACCTTTCAATTCTGTACAGTTTAAAATTTTCATTTTTGGGTTTCTTGACTCATATTCATTATTTAAATAGAAATATAACTGTAGGCTATTTTTCCACAAATAAGAATGCACAACAAAAAATACAGCCTCTGGGTAAGCCTCCATTTATGTGTGCCTCTGTTGCACAAAGTCTGCAAATCATGACCTAACAACTCCACCATACAGCCTGACAGTAATAAACGCTTTTTTTCCCCTCTAGGGTTCAACACAGCAAGCTCTGTATGGGAAAATTTATGGAAGACAAAGCAAAGTCCAGTACTGTATAACTTTGGATCCACTTCAAAAAAGCTGATTTGTGACAAAAACAGAGACAGGGCTGAAACAACAGGGTGTAACACGGACAGCAAGTATTAACACATCTACCACCTTTTCCAGGTAGAGGAGGACGTCTCTGCTCAGAGGAGACAGAGATTCAGAGGTTGTTTAAGTGACTGGTCAGACAGCAAAGCTGGATATTGTCAGGGAAAAAGCAGTGTTCGGCTGGAATTTAAGAATCAAAAGTTTGGTTATCTAGTTTGTATTCAAGCTAGGGCTGGGCGATAGAATGAATGCTGCATCAATATAAAACATGGTCAATTTGCTTTTCGGTAGCCAGCATTCTGCCATGTTTTGGTATACTATACAAGCCAATCAAAAAACGTCGGTGGTGTGGCAGTATTTAGATTTTTTTGAGGTCGGACCTGAAGCAGGGTAATGTGCACTGCAAATTATGTCAAGTACATGTCCCCACAAATCGGGGAATACTTTTTCACCACCTGAATGCAAAAGTTTACAAACCCAGAGCGGACCAAGGAGCCCATGGGGACAGCCGACCATTCAGTCCATTTTCTCTAGGGCAATGCCTTACGACAAAACATCGAAGAGACATAAAGACCTCACAGATCCGTTGCCTATAGTATTGCACTGTTAAATTTCATTTACGAGTAACAGGCATCATTGACATTGACAAGTGATTTTTTTTTATATTGTAAGGTATTGATTTCAACTGATCTTACAAAAAGATAAATAAATAAAAAATTAAAAATGTTATAAACTTTTTCCTATATCGCCTAGCCCTACTTCAAGCTATTTTTCCTTTAAAAATGGATCTGGTGTGTTTTTGATAACAGTGAGATAGACAGAGGAGATAAAATTTTTAGGTAACTGCATACCTGTGCCTGTGTTAGAGCTGTACCTCTCACCTGACATGCAGTTAAGCACCAAGATGCATTGTTAATTCTTCATTTGACAAATCTGTACTCTATATTTTATCTTTTTTGTCTGTTGCAAAAGCAAAGTGCAAGAATTTGGACGCTGCACTGACTCAGGCAAACTTCTACAGACCTAAAACTCGTGTGTATTTGTGAATGGCAGACAAGCAATCCAAAAACGTTTTCAGTTTGTGCATTTTGTGTCACTGACATTAGATAGATGTTAGATAACAAGTGATTTTTCATTATTTTACCCACCCCATGGGCACAGCAAGCAGAGGATAAAAGTCTAGTTCCTCAAAAAATAGCCTATTACCCGATGTGCGATGTACAGCAGCGGATGTGATGGTGTAAAATAGAGAGAGAAAGACAGACAGAGAGAGAGATAGTCCCGAGGCAAGTGTTTTACTCTATAGCTCTTTTATTTTTTTTAAATCTTCAAATATTTGGAGACAGCATGGCCATGAGTGAATATGAAGATGCAAGTGGCAAGTGACAGCGCGCGCAGAGAGAGAGAGAGAGAGAGAGAGAGAGAGAGAGAGAGAGAGAGCAAAAAGACGTATAGAGGAAAAAACGAGCACGCAGCTGGTTCTAAAACGTGGACGCGCGCTGTTGGTGGAGACGCGTTCACTGCAGAGATTTAGGCGACTTTAAAATCAAAAACAGACAAGATCCTCAGAGTTAATCCACCAATAACAAGTTTTACAAACCCTTATGTCCTACCTTGTCAGCTCGCAGCCTGAGTCTGCCTGAGAGGAATCAGGACACTGAATTGATGAGACGAAGAAGGCGTGGAAAGGGTCAGTGTCCAACGTCTGTGGGGCTGGCCCCGTCTGACTACCACAACTGACTACAACTGCTGTTGCTATCAAAACAATAGCATGAAAATTCGCACGTAAACAATATTGAAGACATTATTTTGAAAAACCATTGGACATATGATAGATTTACAGTGAAGTCTGAGCCACAAAGTTTTCGTTTTATTTAACCCATTTATTCCCAAATTTTCCCCTGCAAAATAAGTGCATGCATTTCATTTGGTAGAGTTCCTCAAGACATAATATGTATGATTTTTGTCATTTCATACTTTTATGTTAGCAGAGCTGACCCAAGCCTCAATGGAGCCCTAAGCACAATTTGATTTTTGGGCTCGCTATTTCTGCCAATAATATTGATTGTTGATCATTCACACATCTACTACAGTATAAATTTAATGCACCTAACATGTCTTTACACATTAAAGGTCCTTTCACCCCGGGACCGTTTTTTTTTTTTTTGTACGGATTATTTCTGATGTCAATATTTTTTTTTTCAAACCCGTATCCTGTTAATACAAGCGTTCACATCAGTGACGTTTTCCCATCCTGCGATATTGTGGCATTTATTTTTTCGGATCACGGTTGATTTTTCTAAAGTTTTGCATAATGTGTGTCCACTTCTGATTACTCAGATTTCCTGTTGTTGCGACGTCAGATTCACTGGTATATCCAACATGGCCGACTGGCTAATTGTTTACGTGTTGGAAACATTACAAAAATAACAAGGACAACTTGTGGAGAGTCATAGCGTTGGATCTCTCATATGACGATGGTTTGTGTGCTTTAACAGTTTGCTAAACGTCTTTGTCTTAACGTTCATCTGTGCTGAGTAACTTTAGCTCGTAAGCTAACCTGTTCAGATACAACATACCATATGTATTTTCACTGTCTCAAACTCAATCACGTTGCTGTCACAGCACCAATTAGGTCTCAGTTGTTACCTCACATTTATGGATTATAGTTTAATGTGCTTATCTGGTACTGGCCCTGACTCAGTACATGCTATCATGACAGACAGCCATCTCAACACTAGTGTCTAATCAGAACTGAAAAACAGTCAGTCTGCTGTTGTGTCAGCCTTCTTGCTTCCACCCGGGATGCGTCTTTTTTCCCCCAGAAAGTCGCAAAATCGCATCAGGCTTGATGTGTATAGTCAGGCGCGTCAAAATTCACCTCCAAATATTTACATAATAATTTCGTGTTCTATACTCGCGTCGGCCCCGGTGTGTAAGGACCTTTAAGGGGGTGGCTCAGGTAATAACATAAATTATACCAATGCAATGATACAAATAATACCAATGAATGATTGATAAATGATGTTAAGGGTGCTACAATTTTTTTTTTTTCTCAAAATTTAACACATTCAGCTACAAGAGCAGCCTGGGTTGATTTTCATAACATTCCAAGTGATAAAGCATCGTGTTTACTGTAAAAGTGTCATTGACAGTAAGAATCATAGGCCTATATCAGCAGCAGCACCAAAATGTTTTTACTTTTATTTTATTTTTACAATAATATATATTTGATCATACAGAAAGCATCACTCATACATGCGAAAAATTAAAAAAAATATTTAATTTTTTTTGTTTTTAATTGCTCTTGTGGGCCCCCTACTGGCCGCGGGGCCCTAAGCAGGTGCTGTTGAGCTGAAAGTAATTGTACTTACAAAAAAAGACCTAAGAATAGTTTTCAAAAATAAAATAAATTCAAATTGTGGCAGTAGCTTAGAGTGAAATAACAATTACAGTAACATTATGGCTCAAAGATGAGTGTATAGTATTATTTGGCAAAAACAAAAACATCTTGCGGTTAAGTATTTTCTGTATCTCAAAAACAATGCAGACGCTATATCAATGCATACAGTACATACTGTAGGTTCCCATTAGAGACAGCAATCAAAATATCTGTTTAGTGGTCTCATGAACTGGTTTTAACAAACTTGATTTATGTAACATAGGAACCAGACTTGGTTAGATTCACACTTCTGGCATCCATACACTGTGTGGTTGTGGCACTGTCTGCATCTTTGGTAGCGTTTACCCATGTTAACAGGCCAGTAAACAACAACACATTATCCACCTTTGCAGTTTATTATTGCAAAGGAGGATTATTTAAAGCATGTTTACTTGTTTTAGTACTCAGTAGACTTAGGGAAACATTAGCCAAACAATGAAAAATTAATAACTGTATTTAATGTAACAAAAAACATGATTCTTGTCTCACTTTTACAAGAAAGAGGTTTCATTGTCCTGACCTGAACACGTTCTGCACATTTAGGAAGTGATTTCCCGTCACATGCTCTCAAAGTCCCTGGGTTTCATGATAGCAGTCTGTCTTGATCTCCTTTTATGACTTTGATATACAACAATGTAGCTCTAGACCTGGAAACCAGCGTTTGTTTGTGTTACTTGGCCTTTTAGTTTCAAAGAAAGTTCCTTTGCAGGCTGTCGAGCACCAAGATTTGAAGAAAAGTGAAGCTCTGTAGTGTCAGTGCAATTTTGTGTTCCTGTGGTTTTCAATTTGATGGCACACATCCAATTTTTCGTCGAAGACTAATCCATCCAAGTGAGATTTGTGATTAGATTATGAACAAACAAGGAATAACCCAAATGAGCATCATGCAGGAGATTTGAAAATCCCTAAAAGTTCCCTTAAAAATATAGTTCTGTATTCTGAATCTTATGTGTTTTGATATTATATAAATTCTGTAGGAATTCTGATGGTAAACTGCTCTGTAAAACAGTGGTAGGCTAATTTTTTTATTTCCCCTGTCTGGTTGGGATTCTTACAAACCTTTTAGTGGATATGTATTTTAATTTTTATAAGACTGAACAAGAAAAAGAAAACCACAGCAGAATAACTTCAAAAAAATGTTCTGGCATCATCCCGAGTAGAAGTATACATTTTTTTCTTTTTCAAATGGATGTTATTTCATGGAAATAAATACACTGCTTTTGCCAAGTCACTGTTGCTCTTTCCCAGTAATTCTGTCTTCCTTCTGTGCCTTGTCATCTTATTCCCCGTTTTCACTTCTCTGGAGGCCAAAGCAAGAGATAAAAGTAAACTTATCTTCAGATTCTGTAGTACTTTGTAAGTGTGCATGTTTGGATGTGTGTGGGCTAGCTCCATGTGCGTACGTGCTCATGTGTGTAACAGACTGTTTAGCTCTTGTGTTTTTGTGTATCGATGCATAAATGATCGAGTATGCACATTAATTATGGATGTTTGCCTGTTTTGTGGGACAGTGTCATGTGTATGTGCACATATTTCTTTTTTTATGCATACGCTAATGTTATTTAAAGTATATGAATGTGCAATTAGATTAAATATGCACAAAGTGCTATGGAAACTCTGTTACAGGGCACTGCCACAACACAGAAAGACAGAGGTAGAGCAGTCTGAGTGTTTACTGTGCTAGTGCTTATAGACTAGTGATGTGCAGTCAGGGGAGGCAGAGCTTCCCCTGGGCTAATAAGAAAGAAATGTTTAAAATAAATATTTTATTGCTGTCAATTTAATTTGTAAAAATAAAAAATAAAAGAAAAAGTCAAAGTTAATCTGGCCTCATGCTGGTTATCGTGGGCGTCTTTGAGGCCATAGACATAATACACTTAGATGCCTCATTATATCCAGAGTCGCCACCAAATTGGATGGGTCTCCACACTCTAGGCTCGCACCAGAGCCAACTGGAGTCAATGGAGAACGAGCACTATGCCCGTATTTTCTGCAGCCTATGGTTGCAAATAACCGGAGCAGTACTGAAACCAGATAATGGAGGATTACCTTACATAAGTAAAATTGATTTTTTTTTTAGTTTCAAAGAAAGTTCCTTTGCAGGCTGTCTAGCACCAAGATTTGACGAAAAGTGAAGCTCTGTAGTGTCAGTGCAATTTTGTGTTCCTGTGGTTTTCAATTTGATGGCACACATCCAATTTTTCATTGAGGACAAATCAATCCAAGTGAAATTTGTGATTAGATTATGAACAAACAAGGAATAACCCAAATGAGCATCATGCAGGAGATTTTTTTGGCCTCATGCTGGTTATCATGGGCATCTTTGAGGCCATAGACATAATACACGTAGATGCCTCATTATATCCAGAGTCACCACCATATTGGATGGGTCGTCTTCTGTGCCTAGATCGTAAAACACCGGTGCATCATCATTATTGGTCCCCAGCAGCTCACTTCCGTTGTGGCTTTTTTATTTGCATCCTTTTATTTTCGCAATAAGTAACTTTTTCTTTCTTTCTTTCTTTCTTTCTTTTTTTTTTCATCATTAACTTCTGTTGTGGCTTGTTTTTTTAAAAAAAATCTGCACCGCCCCGTTTTTTATTTGCAGCAGGCTCTGGTTTCATTTTTTTTTTCATCAGTAACTTCCCTGTTTCGGCACCTTTTTTTTTTTGCATTCTTTTTTTATTTGCGGTTCTCGGCCACCGTACATAGGCAACCAGCGTCCAATCAAAAGTGCGCACTGAGCGCCCCAGAGTTTCTTCGCGGAAGCAAATACGACTCACTCGCAAGCAGCACGGTCCTATTGGATTACTGTGGTTACAATGCAGAGGGCAGACTGACGTGCGGCAACACGGTATGTAAAAGTAGCCTACAAACGTTGCGGGGTGGGGGGGTTTGCGTACCGCTGCGTACCGGCTGTAAACTGCTGTTTATGTCTTCCCGGTAGAGCGTACCTGCTTACTTTCACTCCTGTGTAGTTCACAAAATAAGAGCTTAGTCTACAGTTCATCAAACCAAATCAGTCGACAGTTCAGCTGATAACCTTCCTTGTATTCAATTGTCAAATCCCCAAAAAGTTTCTATTGAAACTGCTTCAGCATGCCTTCACTTGATGCTTCCTCCACAACCATTTTACAACCCATCTCGACCCCTGCTCCTCCACTTAGATTGAGTCTGATCTCACCGGTGTCCTTTGTACTTTCAATGTTGTCAACTTTGTTCTGTGCTGATTTTTTTTGTTGCTGCTGCTACTCTCCCTGTCTTGGCTTTTCATGTGTGCACTTGGAGCAG